ATGATTTTTACCATGCCCAAGTTTCGCAATTTTTCACATTTTTTATTTTGAACTTCTGGAGGAGTTTTGATTACTGTCGGATAGAGCAAACAAAGTGCAACGCTATAAAATTTTTTAACATCTTTAGCTGGCTTTTCAGATTTACCGAATTTTTTCTCTAATGGTAACTTCCACATTTGGTCAAGCTAAGCCTCACAGAACATTAGCCGACAGCAATTTGGGTATTGCTCAACATTTTGTCTTCCCGACTTGTGAAACTTTTGGAGATAAAATTACTCATATTGTAGATTTTTGAACGCCGCCTATGGCTCCCAAAATTTGATATCTCGAAACGAAGAAATCTTATTTGCTTTTTAAATTGGTATTAAATAATTGTCGAGTGTTACAATTCTAAAATTCCAAAGTTTCTCAGTGTTTGATGCATCACACGACTTTTCAAAAGTGAGGACTTTTGGAAAAATCATTCAAAAAAATCTGGGAAGAAAGTCGAAAATGCCCAAAAAATTTGTTTTATTAATTTGTTTACTCTATCACAAGTTATCACAGCTATTTCAGAAGTTGAGAATGAAAGTCTTGAAAAACTGCCAAACTTAAGCGTGTTACCATGTACTTGATACTTTTGCAGTTATCTTAATAACCATAAAATCAAATGGTCCCAAAATATGACTGCTTGAAAGCGAAAGAAAAACTGTAGAATAGCTCTTAAGTTTACCGGTATTCGTCGTCTCCTTACGACAACTCGAAAAAATGGGAGGAGCTTTCGACTCAATATTTCTAGCTATCAAATCAATGTATTCGTGACGTTACTTGTGCATTAGAAAAAGGCATGGAGCTTCCGAAAAGATAGATATTGATTTAGTATGAGTAAAGATTAAAATTGATTTAGTATTAGTAAACGAAAAAAATATTTGCAAATATGCTTTGCTTGCACTGTTCGATGCTAGCTTCGATTTTTGCGCTGACAAACAGTAACTGCTATCTCTAGCTAGGTAATGGTAATGAAGTAAATTCGTGTAATATGCTTTGAGACTAAGATTGTCAACGAAGGCTCTGTCAACAATATTCTATTTTTTTTTCATTCGGCAAGGATAACATAGCTTGTACAAAATAAAATCCTGAGATAGTGTTTGTCCATGTTAGGAAGAGGAGAATTTCTTGCCAAAGACAATTTCTTTGCTATTCCAGCACTTAATATTAGTCAAAAATTCGAATATTTTAACCTTTGCGGTTTTTGGAATACTTCAAAACTAGTGAATCAGCAATCTCAAAGGTGCTAGTTGCAGGCGCCTCGCTTGGGGACCCAATCGCTTTCCTCCTATTTAATAATTTTTGATGCACCTTACAATTCTTTACATATTAGGTTACGAAGACAACTCGTTAATAGTTTCCGTTATCGCTAGTATTTTGATGTTTTTACTACTTTTCATAGAAATAAACTGACCCCTCGTCGTAGAAAACTATAAACCCTCCACTGTCTTATTCGTGGTCACAGTACTCAACAATTAACCTGGAAACACTTTCGTCATTTGTTTTAACTTACTGCTTGAAAAAAAATTTACTCACTTTTGGCCTAAATTACCCTGTAACGGTGATTGTGCAAGCCACACGGAAAAATTTATTTCGAAGCGAAACATTTTCCTCAAACAGTTGCATTCTAATTTCGAGCTCAGCAACTGCTTTGGCTGTTATATGTTGGAAGGTATAGCCCTGGAGATTAATCTTATATATAAAGCTGAATGTCTGTTTGTATGTCTGTCTGTATGTATGTATGTATGTATGTACGTATGTTCCGAATAGAAAATTCCATTTCTGAACCGATCCGGACCAAACTTGGCACACATACACTACGGGCCCCGGCGGGTGTCATAGGCTACTTTTCGTCATCGATCGATATCGATTTTATCGATTTTTATCGATTTTTTTGCTGAGTTCACCTACGGGGCTGGGAGTTGGCACAGGGGGGTAATCGAGCATGGGGATTCCGAATACAATATTGGTTTTCAGGATTATCGATTACTTTTATCGATTTTATCGATTTTTTTGCAAAGTTTGAGCTACGGGGCTGGGAGTTGGCACAGGGGGGTAATCGAGCATGGGGATTCCGAATACAATATTGGTTTTCAGGATTATCGATTACTTTTATTGATTTTATTGATTTTTTTGCAAAGTTTGAGCTACGGGGCTGGGAGTTGGCACAGGGGGGGTAATCGAGCATGGGGATTCCGAATACAATATTGGTTTTCAGGATTATCGATTACTTTTATCGATTTTATCGATTTTTTTGCAAAGTTTGAGCTAGGGGGCTGGGAGTTGGCACAGGGGGGTAATCGAGCATGCTGATCATCCCCAAGGGGGTGATCAGCATGCTCGATTACACCCCTGTGCCAAATTCCAGCCCCCTAGCTCAAATTTTCAAAAAATCGATAAAATCGATAAAAGTAATGGACGATCTTGAAAACTAACATTGTATTCGTAATCTGCATGCTCGATTACCCCCTGTGCAAACTCCCAGCCCCGCAGGTCAAACTTTACAAAAAAATCGATAAAATCGATAAAAGTAATGGACGATCCTGAAAACTAATATTGTGTTCGTAATCAGCATGCTCGATTACCCCCTGTGCAAAATCCCAGCCTCGCATGTCAAAATTTACAAAAAATAGATAAAATCAATAAAAGTAATCGATAATTCTGAAAACTAATATTGTATTCGGAATCCCCATGCTCACTTCCCCCCTATGCCAACTCCTAGCCCTGTAGGTGAACTCTGCAAAAAATCGATAAAAATCGGTAAAATCGACATCGATCGATAACGAAAAGTGGACTGTGACACCCGCCGGGGCCCGAAGTGTATGTGTGCCAAGTTTGGTCCGGATACGGCGGAGCCGGGTAAGCCAGCTAGTTGATTAATATTTGACGGTGCCAAGCAAGAACAAGGCCGGTTAGGATTCCATTAGTTCGTTGCGAAAGTCGTGCCGTTTTCAGACCTACACTCAAATCACTGATGAGCAAACGCTTTTAGCAGCGTTCGATGCAGAAATTCTTTTTCTGTTGAGCAATGAAGGTTTTTATGAGTAATTTAATGACCACTCATATAATCGTCGGAATCTTCAACCCTTGTTTCCTACCATTTGATAACTTTCAAATCTTCCATTTCAAACTTCAAATAGGTTTGTAACAGTCAAATAGAGTGATGAAAATGCAATACAATAAATTTTGGGGGTGCCTTAAAGGCAGTGTCCGGGCAAAAAGTCGATTTTGAGATTTTGTGCTTACCCGGGCCTATTCGCCATGCTGAATCCGAAAATCCTCGTTGGAAAGCGTAAAAACGGCAAAAAAGGGCTCTAACGCAGGAGGGAAATTGGAAGTGGGCGGGGTCCTCCCCACTGTAAATTTCGCAGTTCCAGTCTCTGGAACGATTTTCCTAATTCCTCTAGTGCCCTGAGATCTCCACCGGCCAGGTGCGAATGCATGACTTGAAATTGGAACCAAGAAGATCGCTCTGGAAGCTGGGAGCATGAATTCACAGTGGGGAAGACCCCGCCCACTTGCTGATTTCCCTCCCATGTTAGAGCCGTTTTTCGCCGTTTTCGCGCTCTCCCATGTGCATTTTCGGATTCAGCGTAGCGAATAGGCCCGGGTAAGCACAAAATCTCAAAATCGAATTTTTGCCCGGACACTGCCTTTAAATCTGGCTTTCCAGCACTTTCCAAGACGAATTTCTCGAAAGTCTTTACTTTTGCGAAGTCGTAAATTTCAAAGGATTCAAGCACTAATAAATCTTTGAAACTTTCAAACATAAATTATGATTAAACAAATCAACGATACTTATACAAGGCAGCTAAATGTTTATGGCTTCGAAATACTGAGTTTCGGATTCCCCAAATACGGACTGGAACGCGTTCAAAACAAAAATGACGATTTTTTCCTTAGATTTCACAAACTGAACAGAAGAAAGACTTACTAAAAAGAGAAAAAAAATCTGCATCCAATGACACCTAAATGCCCCCGTTTATTGATGTGATTCGGGGTACCCAAGTATGAAATCTGGTAGCATCGAAAAAAATGAATTCAACAAGTCAAAACCTACTACAGATCTCGAAAAACCCATTGTGCTGCACTTCGTTTCCTGTTCAGCTGTCACTGAAGCTCTTAATGAAAATCTAAATCGGAAGCTATAAAAAATAGCTGAATTCAGGGTAGGTAAATAGCATGAAAGACTTCGTCTACTTTATTCTGTCATGGGTGATATATGCATAAGTCTGAAAACCCGCACGAACTTTCGGATCGACCTGATGCTCATATAAATTTACTAATTCCAGTAAAAGGAGCGAGAAGCAGTTTTTCAACGTTAGAAATTCCGCGAGCACAATGTGGAAATCTACAACACTGGAAGCTAACAAGGGAAAGTTCCCAAGTCAGCTCGGCCAACCCGGATGAGTCATATATCGCCGTAACGGCCTTGAAACGCTGATTCCAAATCTGCTTTCCTTTTCTGCGGAGCAACTTTTCCGAGGGAAGTTATGAGCGTTTAAATGTCTAAATTTGTCATGTTCAAAGTGGCTTGAAATCAGTTGAAAGCTGTAAAACAACACCTAAAGGAATTTCACTACCTGTGTTTCGTCCTTGTAATCAGTATACTTAATACAAAACTGATAAATCACTTTTATGTGTTATTGTACAGGTTTCGCCAATTTTAAGCCACTTAAAACATAACAAATTTAGACTTTTAACGCTCATAACTTCTCTCGAAAAGCCCTCCGCAGAAAAGGAAAGCAGATTTGGAATCAGCGTTCCAAGCCTGTTACGGCCATACATGATCCATCAGGGTTGACCGAGCTGACTTGGGAACTCTCCCTCGTAAGATACTTTTGCAGAATTTAATTGTTTGTAAAAAAAACTAGAAATGTCATCACCACTCCTGATTGCTGCTGATCGAAGAAAGCCAAAATAGAATGAAGAGAAACTAAGCCCAAACCTCATAGCCTTCAGATTATAACGCTCTCGAAAGTGAAAATATTTTGTATCTTTATTTGAGAAGAAAAAGTTAAGTATTACGAACAATCTCGAAAAGAAATGAAACACTGTCAGTGATAGGCGTTACGCTCGTAGAAAGTACCCAAGTTCAAGGTAGAGAATAGAAAATTCCCCAATCGCTGATAGATTAATACAAGCGATGACAGGTTTAATTTTTAGGTTTTTTGTTTTGCTTATTTGTCATCGGCTTTTTGTTTTGCTTCTTTGTCGTCTGTCTTCTTCGTGTCAACGCGTCCCATCGTTGATTTATTCGGTCCTTGCATTTATCGAAGCACTCCTTATCCTTCCTATTTAAGCACTCTTTTTTGCAGTACTAAAATATCATTATTAAGTTCCAAACATTACTATCAAGAGTATCTTCACCAAGCTGCTCATTGAAATACATCGTTAAAGAAGACTTCACGGCATTTAGGATCAGTCATTGGGCATGGTTTTTTGGTTGCAGTACTAGTAAACAAGTATATGCTGATGAACCTCATGTCGAATTTTAGAAAAATGCCTAATTGTTTTAGGCCAATAAAAGAATAGATTGAAGAGCGGAAAACAAAATCTAGTTGTAAAGAACATTGGAGGAGGATGGAATAAACAGGAGAGGGTGCGGCGAAATAAGGAGTTGTGTAACGTAGGCACATTTTGCTCGATGAATTTTTCATGCCAGCGAGCATTCTAGAGAAATTTGTGCTTTGTAGATATACTAGAGTGATAGATTGAAACAAGCCGCAACAAAACCGTCAAGGAGAGAAAAGAATGAAGTTGCTCGACACAGGCACGCTTATATTTGTTTTTAGCGCTTTCATTTGTGATGAAAAATCATCAAAAAAGCCGAGGTATCGTTAAGCGGGCTACCATTCTAATCAGGTGGAATAAAAATGCTGCAAAAGTTACATAGCGAGAACAAATCGCATTTTAAACGGCCGTTATGCGTTTTTTAAGACGATCTAAAACCATACACAAATTTTTTTGAAAACTTTTGCAGTATCTACCTAATGCATATGCACCACAATTAAAATGTTGAGCACAAGTTGTAAGTGGTGCCGACATAGTGAGGATCAGTGCAAACTTGTTGAGACCAGGGCACGGCACAGGTGGCTTACCAAGCAAGCTGCATATCGTTTTGGGGGAAAAAGCAAACAAGATAGGTCATTTGCACATTTTACAAAGCAAACATCATCTCAAGTATGTTAGACTTTTACACACATCTTACTATCAGATTGTGTAAGTTCGTTCACACATCCATTCACTTTTATTCCTAATGTTTTATGCTGTACCAAATTGCATAGGTGCGTCTGAAAACTCTTTTTTTGTTCTATCAAAGTCGCTGCTTTATTCTCCTAAATTAGTGAGTTTGAAAAAAAATGTTAAAGAATTTGAATTGAACGTTAAAGAGGTGGAAATTTCATCTTTGAAAACTACTTACTTCGCCTTCAGAATAGCTGAGATGCTTGCAAAACAGCAAAAAAATTTGCGAGATATATGAGAATTGTGCTATAGATCCCTACACCGTTCAGATTTGCTGATTTAAAGGCAGTGGCTTGGCTTGCGAGTGGGAAATTTCACAACTACATGGCCTTCTGGACCAGCTGAGGAAGGCGAAGTAAGTAGTTTTCAAAAATGAAATTTCCACCTCTTTAACGTTCAATTCAAATTCTTTAACATTTTTTTTTCAAACTCACTAATTTAGGAGAATAAAGCAGCGACTTTGATAGAACAAAAAAAGAGTTTTCAGACGCACCTATCAAGTACTGTGCTTAAAAAGTCAAAAAAGTACTTTTTTGGAGATTTCCGGCTTTGGAGATTGCTGAAAAGGCGGGGTGAGGGATTTCCGTCAACTGTACTTATTGATTACCTGAGCTGATCGGCCAATTGCCGCCAAAACAGGTGAAGTTACAGTATCCTGCAGTCACTTGCTGGTTATGGAATCCCTCCCCGCATCTCCAGTAATCTGCAAGGCCGGTAAACTCCAAAAAAGTGCCTTTTTGACTTTTCAAGCACAGTATATGACATAGCTGGTTTAGAAGGTCATGTAGATGTTAAAAGCCTCCAATCGCGATTTTTCCGAGCCACTGCCTTCAAATTCACATATTGGCTTGGAAATCGGTCTCATATTGTCTCTCCAATTTCAACAGTAGGGACACTGAAGGCATTTAAGAGGACTGATTTCCGAACAAATTGGGGCAAAGAGATTGGTGGCTATAAAATGTCGATTTCATCGGTTGCTTACAAAGAGATTTGCAATTTGAGGGACACATAGCTTGAGCAACAGCGGCGAACATATGCATATGACGACGAATGACTCGACAAAGCTTCAATAGCCTATCTGCTGGCTGTTGAAGCTCCCTGAACTCCTCAATCAAAAATTTTGAGAATTAGCGAAACTTTAACATGACGAAAACTAAGGCTTGTAAATTTCAGCACTCTCTCAACGACTCACTTTGTAAAATAGCAGCTGCAAAGGGGAGGAAATGTTACATAGGATGCACCAGTGTTTGTTAGTCTCTATTCTACCGTATTTGCCGATGGATTCAATATGACAACACTTTTGCACCTTATATGTGTTAAGCGTATTAGCATATATCATTAGACTGTGTGATTTATACTTGGGTAATTCGAGAATTTTTCATCGAATGAATGAATATCGAATAAATTTGAAACGAAAAATTTCCAATAAACGAATATCGAATAAATTCGAAAATAAAAAATCTCGAATAAACGAACATCGAATAAATTCGAGGTTCAAAAATTCTCGAATGAATGAATTCCGAATAAATTGGGAAAATCAAAAATATCGAATGAACGAATATCGAACATATTCGAACATTGGAAGTCAAATTTCGAATAAACATTCGAATGATTTATCGAATAACTAGAGCAACCATATCTCAAACTTGCCGACGTATCTGGCTAAAGCCGATCCATTCATAATCAGCACCCTTGTATCCCCTATACCAACTCCTAGCTCAAAATTTTCCAAAAATCGCTGAAATCGCTAAAATAGACTTCGGTTTTAATCAGCATCCTCATTTACTCCCCTGTACCAACTCCAGCCCCGCAGCTCAAACTTCTCCAAAAATCGATGAAGTTGGTTGGTTGGCAACTAGTCTACTCATCAGCAAAAAGTCTATTTTACCCACTATTGGACGATCTAAAAAAGCAGTCGATATAAATTTGTCCAAAACCTATTCTAGAAGTACAGAATGCAGGGCATTTTTCTTTTTAGTAAGTTGTACACGCTAAACATTTGCGGTAAGCTGGCGTTATATTCGAAGACATCTCGTAACTGGCAAATCGCATACGGCGATCTAAACCGTTTAATCCTCCACTACAACTGCGATTTCCTTTACTCAAAATACACCAATTTGCAAAAAACCTCTAAGGTAGCGAATAGAGGCAGTTGTGCTATATAACTTATGCGAGCAAGGTGCTCACTAGCTAGTGTGGACTTTGCGTACCACAAGCATGAGCAATGCAAAGAAAGAAAAACAGGCATTTCAATACATTTTCAATATATGAACTCGGAACATGAGCTTGAATTTGATAGCTTCTTTGCTGATTTGGTGCCAGTAGCAGTGCAAACAATCTCATTGATTGAAAAAGCATCAATTGAAATCCACATATGACTTTTTCTGTCGCAAGCAGTCGGAGGAATGCGACTCTCCATACAGTTCAAAGGTCATAACGGTTGCAAAAGATGCATTACCTAGTTTTGCGAAAAAAAAAACGAGGACGAAGTGAGCTTGATACTCAGCACTTGGCTTTGCAACGAATTCGAATAATCTGAATACGGAGTTCATTCAAACACGAATTCGAACAAACATTCGAATAAAACATTCGAATAAAATCTATTTGAAATTCCGTTTTTTGATTATTCGAGTTTTCGAAAATTCTTCGAAAATAGAAGAATTCCGAATATCGAATTTCGAATACGAATATATTCGAATGTTTTATTCAAATGATCGAATTTCTATTCGATTCGGACCCAAGTATAGTATCAGAGCAGTCGGTTGAACTGAGAACATAGTTGCTAGAAAATATAAGGTAATGTGTCAATCTCTCATTTTTCTAAGGGAGTTGCGAATGAACCCAAACGGCAGCAATTTTCGGTCCAATCTATTACATGAGGTCGTTCCGAAAGTTCTTTCTTTTTTTTTGATCTAGCATAAAAACGCGTACCAAGATGAGCAAAAAGAATATTCGACGCATGTGCTTATCAAGATAAGTGCAGAAGTTTTTAATCAATGGTTTTTACCATGCCCAGGTTTCGCAATTTTTCACATTTTCTTACTTTGAACTTCTGGAGAAGTTTTGATGACAGACGGATAGAGCAATCAAAGTGCAACACTATAAATTTTTCAACATCTTTAGCTAGCTTTTCAGACTTATTAAATGTTTTTCTTTGATGGTAACTTCCACATTTGGTCAAGCTAAACCTCACAGAACGTTAGCCGAGAAGCAATTTGGGTACTACTCAATGCAGCTTTTTCACCTGTTTTCGATAGGCATTCTGTCTTCCCGACTTGTGAAACTTTCAGAAATAAAATTACCCACATTGTAAATTTTTTAACGCCTTATGGCTGCTGAATTTCCAGAATTCTATAACTCGAATCGAAGAAAGCTTATTTCCTTTGTAAAATTAGAGCTGAATAATTGTCGAAATTTAGAATTCTAAAAATTGCAAAGCTTCTTAGTGTTCGATGTTCATCATCACACGACTTTTCAAAAGTGAAGACTTTTGGAAAGATCATTCAAAAAAAATTGGGAAGAAAGTCGAAAATGACCAAAAAATTTGTTGTATTGCATTTTGTTTACTCTATACACAAGTTATCACAGCTATTTTAGAAGTTGAGAATGAAAGTCTTGAAAAGTTGCGAAACTTAAGCGTGTTAAACCATGGGTTTGATACTTTTGCAGTTATTTCAATGGTCTCAGAATATGACTGCTGGAAAGCGAAAGAAAAACTGAGAATAGCTTCCAAAGTTTACCGTTATTCCTCGTGTTCTTCTGACAACTCGAAAAAAATGGGAAGAATTTTGGATTCGATAGTTCTAGCCTTCAAATCAATGCATTTGTGACGTTACTTGTATTAGAAAAAGGCATGGAGTTTTCGAAAAGATAGATTGAAATTGATTTATTTTATTTTATTTTATTTTACAATACACTCAATAGGTGTGCCAAAACAGAAACAAAAATGGAATGAACAGAAAACATAACACATCGAACGACATGAATGCCATACCCAACGGGATAAAATGGATAAAATGTGAGGTAAACAAGGCCCCGGATAAACCGGCTCAAGCTCTCCACATAAAGAATAAGAAAGCAGAAAGCAGGGCTGGTCAAAGCCTAGACTTCAGAATCTTGCTGTCTCGAAGATACCTGACTACCCCGATATGGTGTCAGCGAGCCTACGGGCGGAGGCTAGCTGACTTGACCCCGAAAAAGATTAGCCTGGGAG